GAGGGAGGGAGGGAAAGAGAGAATTCAATTCTCAGAAGTGGCAGACAATGGGCATTAACTCATTGTTAACTCATAAATGTCAGTTCAGAGCCACCACTCACTCGGTGAGCCTGGTTTTCCTTCAACAGCCTCTGACCCTCCACCAAACCCCGCTGTCAGTGTTCTCCCCCTGACCCCCATTTGCATAGCTTCCCTTCCCAACAGAGGAGCCCTCCCCATGCTCAGCCTCCCACACTGGCAACGGCTACAGAGGGAACCTGCTCTACTGGGAGCTGAGGCTCCGGTGTGACACAGGACTCTGGCCTGGAATAAATGCCTCCTCCTCTGTCTGTCTTCACACCCTCTCCAAGGCTCAAGGTGCTTCGAGGGCGAGATTTCTGCTGTGCTCCTAAGTGAGTGCTCAGTCTGAGGGCCCCTGATCTGCAGGCAGACTCCACGTCACATAAACAATCTCCCGCAGTTTCTTTCTCACCCTGCAGAGTGCATACATGCAGAAACCAGTGGCTATCCTCTGCTCACTTCTCATTTCTGGCAATGTTTATGGAGAGAAAACCAGGTAAGTGAAGCTTGAGCTGTTTCTCCTACCACCTGGACCCAATGCCTCTTGGAGCTCCCTGGTAAGTTTGTCTTGCCACTCACATCAGTTCCCAATCCAGCTGAGCCTGTTCAATGTCATCCATCAGCTTCATCAGCTTCTTCTTAAACTGGTGTTCAAAACGCACGTCATCCTCAATAACAAGAGTCTTCTCCAGCTCTCGGTCAATCACCTGCGAAGGTCATCAGTGGGAAGATACCCTATGAAAAGTTTAGGACTTACTTTTTTATTAGACAAATAAATATTAAAACGTCAAGAGTTTAGTAACATGATATGTAAAAGCTCATAACTGGATTCTAAGCCAATGCCCATCAACAGCTGAATGAATCAATAAACTGTAGTATATTAAACTGTGGCAATGAGAATATAAGATCTATAATCAAATACCATGTTCTAGATGAAGCTCACAAAAGTAATGTTGAGAGATTGGACATACCATATGGTTCCATGCATATTTTAAAAAGTACAAAAGAAGCCAAAACTATTCTTGCTGTTGTTAAAAGTCAGGATGGTGATTACCCTTGGGGACAGGTGACTAGAAGGAAACACCGGGGAGGTACATCTGTAGTGCTGGCAGCCTCTTTCTTGATCTGGGTGCTGGTTCACTTGGATGCACTGTTCGGTTTGTGAAATTTCATTGGCCCATAATTTACAATCTACATAGTTTTATACACATCTCTTACATTTCATTTAAAGGTTAAAAAAAAAAAAAAGATAGGCCTAGACTGGATCATTCAGAGAGAGAAGGCATTCAAGGGGCCCTTCTTTAGAGCGTTTTCCTTTTGTTGAGAGAACTGAACCTTAATCAAGAACCCCACACTCCAATACCACCCCTCAATGTCTGATCTGTAAGATCAGGGTTCCAGTCCTGGCTCTGCCACTTCTCACCTGGACAACATATTTATTTCCTCTTGGGTAAAATGAGCCCATCCCTCCCAAGGCAGCTCATACAATTTCTGTGGGACCTTCTTGTGTAAAGTCACTTTATAAGTGATAACACGCTAGATACATACAAGGCGCTCCTACCGAAGCCGAGAATGCCTCAACAGGAGTGTGGCCCCAAGAACATGGGTATCTTCCCCTGTCACTGTCTCACGTGGCGCTGAGGTTGCCCCTCCTGTCTGTGGCTGGCCTTGTGTCAGAGGGTGACACAAGGCAACAGGAACTTTCAAGCATACCTCCAGGAGAGAGATGGGTTCCCCTCGCACCCGGGCCTCATTTACCCACAAAGTCCCACTCTCCTTCCCCCTCATTACAACACTGCACATCTGAATAAAGCATCACTTACCTCTTTCCAGACAGAGTAGTGGCTAAGAAAGCAGCCGATTTCACCCCTGGTCAGAGGCCTGGAGGAGTAGGGATCTCGATACCCGGGCAGCATTTCAATGTTCAGGGCCTTCAGCTGGCTGGTGTTGAGTGCCCTGTGTGATGGAGAACAGGTCTGAACACTGACAGGTGAGATGTCCCCACCACAGAAGCCAGAGAGTGGCTGTAAAAACGTATCTGTATTCCAATGACCGCATATTCCCCCCCACCCAGAACTACTCCATCAGATAGGACACATCCCCACTCCAACCCCATCTGCAAGGGTTCAAGAAAACTCAACTCACTTCCCATCCACAGCCTCCACGATCTTGACCTCAATCTCCTGCTCATAGAGGGTGCGGAGCATCCGGTCCCGCCGGTCCTTCCTGCGTTTGAGATTTATCATGAAAATCTAATCCAGGGAGAAGAAGAGAAGGAAACATGGGTGACTCAAGTCTTCTTTTAGGTTGTTTGAGAGTTTAAATAAATGTAGCACCAATGTTTTCAAGTTTCAGTGAGAACAGGGAGAGGAAACCGGTGAAGATTTGTTTATGTTTCATATCAGGTCAAATGACATGAATCCAAATGGAATTACTTTCAAAACTGGGCCATGTGCAGTGACTTAACCCTCCCTGTTTCTCTGGTGCTCACGGATGAATGCATCCACCTTGCTTTTGAGACAGGAAAGATGAAAAAGTTGCTCTTAGGGGAGACTAACAGTGACTTAAACCCAAACACAGGCACTAGGGGTAGGAGGCAGCTTGGCAAGTGGTTACAGTTATCAGCAGACCTGAGTCCCCAGCCTGATTGTTATTTACTAGTGTTTGCCTTGACTAGTTCCTCTGCCTCAGTTTCCTCACCTGTAAAACTGGAATAATAATAATAATACCTATCTCATGGGTACTAAATATCAGCTATTCTTAGAATGTATATCCTCTAAATTTAAAGTCAACGAATAAGAAATATCTAGTCTTAACACATTCCTTTTATTCCCAAAGGTTCCAAACTGAATGATTGAAATCTCAATTTTAGTAGCTTTTATGTAAAAAGTCAACTCCCTTAGAGACGAGGGAATTTTTCTGAAAGAGTAAAGGGAAGGAGCCGTGACCACGGGGGTAGCCCTCTGAGGAAGAGAGAAGGGAGAAATGGAAAGGCTTAAGCGAAGACTTAAATGAAACCCTAAATTTCCAAGTGGATCTGTAGGATCTGAGAGACACCAACTGGTCCCAATGAAGGTACATTCAGATCACCCCCCATGAGGGCTGGGTCCACCTATGCACCCACTTTAGTCCCTACATTCCCGATGGCTGCACTGAACACATATGTATTATGACACCATGACAGGAAGTTACAAATAACGAGGCAGCCCTAACTATTCCCAGGTTTAAGGGCTACAGAGGGACCTAAAGCCTCATGAATGCTATTACAGGTAAATTAGTATTTTAATAAGGTCTCTTTGCTACAAGCAGTAATAAACTTTGAACTTTAAACTAGTCCTCCAAGTGAGGACTTCAGCTGCCAGCAAAAAATGATGACTCATAGCATTGAAAAGAAGAAACCTACAGGAATAAGTCAGAGGATGCCGGCTACCTCCTGACTAATCATTGAGATGACATTTCATGTTATAGGGTCCAGACTCTTGTTTGTAAAAAGAGGGAGTTGAACAAGCTCATCTCTCAAGTTCAGGGCAGATGAAAACTTCTATGACCCATGTTTCATAATAGAATTACTTTATGCTATGTCCAGAATAAAGAAACTATATCTTATAACCAGCCTGCATTTCAGACTATATAGAGTAAAACTTTGTTTCACATGGTCATTCTGAGTGTGCTTATCAATATGATTTACTAGAATAAGAAGCTACACTAACTAAAATGTCCGCTCTTCCTTAAAAATATTCTTACCTCCATCCATTTATAAAGGTCTGGCCAAAAAAACTGATGGGGGAGCAAGATGTCCTCTTTAAAAAATCATCCACTTTATTTAGGGCAAAATGAGTCAGGCATGTCGTGATTTCATCTAACTAGGTAATTAACTGTTTATCTAACCGGGTAATTATTTTTAAAAAAACATAATTTCCATGGTGACCATTTGCCTTGTTACTTGAAATTTTACAACTTTATATGAGTGGTGTTTTTTTATATTTCATTTTCTTCCTGTGTAGAATCACACTCCATCCCCCAATTTTACAGATACGGAAAGGATATTGCTCCTGGGTACACAAGGAGCTACCTGGGGTCACTCCAGGAGAGCAAACCACAAAACAAAAAATGAACAGAAATACAACAAAAAAGTTTCCTCAAACCAGAGACCTCTAGCCTGGGATGACTTTAGGAAATAACAATCCTGTCCCAGTTTCTACCAGGACAAGTGCAATAAAAACTGTAGCCACGAAGGAAAAACACAGACAGCTCGCTCATACTTGGAAAACGGTAAACAGAGAAAGAGCCACACAGCCAAATGCAACCCTGACACCCCCACCAAGGTCATGGAGTACTGGGAGGGTTGGGAAGGCCCAGAAAATCTTTTTTTCCACCATCCTATATCTGTTCAGGACAGAGAAATGATTACTCTGGGCTCAGGAAAGTAGAGTCCCTGAGCCTGTGTCACTTCCTAGAGTGGGCATTTTTCAGAAGGCTTCTATGAGCGATCCGGTCGTCACACCCACATCCAAATGTAAGACCAGAGCTAGAAGATCCTGGTTTCGTCCCATTTATTTGCTTTGGTTTGATCCTCATAGGAATGTGTTTATAGAAGGAAAATGAATGTATATGAAGACACAGGTTCTTTAACCTGGAGAACCAGGAGCTTCAGGGAAGGAAAGCCACAGTAACACATGGAAGCCCGTCCAGTACACGGTGTGGACCAACATTTTCTGCAGCCCTGATGGTTTTTAAAAGCTGTTTATACTTTAATTCCTCTATCCCACATATAAAATCATCTCTTCTCATTCTGCCCCCTGTGGAAATTGCTTAGTAACTACTAACTCTTTTCCACTTCATATTCATGTAGAATGATTTGAACTTCCCGGAATGATCTGAATATTCCCATCCTGGAAGTTCAGCCCCCAAATCAATTTTATAGACAGAATCCCATTTCCCAGTGCTGGTAGCTCTTTAAGATGGCTGTACTTTGGGAAAATGCATTACATGATACAGGGTGATAAATAAGGAATTTTCTTTCAATGGAACAGTGGCAATGAGCAGAGAGCACAAAGCTTGGCCTATAACATATCCTTATGCTGTGAGAAAACTTCCGGTTTGTGGGTTCCTGATGCACTGCCCCCACTTCTAGACCATCAGGTTCCTGAATATTGTCAGCAGCTACATGACATGAGGAGCCATGAAGGAGTTAGGGACTTGGGAGTCCCGTTTCTGGCCCTGCCAAGTATCATATATGTTGGGCATATTACCAAGAGAGGCATCTTTTTATATTCCTGCTTCATTCTTTATACAACTGAAACTTAATGATAAACATGGCCCTCAGAAAGCCATTATGAAGTTCTTGCCTGAGGAAAGGCAGAATTTTAGAACAGTTTCTTTGTGTTTTTTTTCTTTGTCTTCTCAACCCTGCCCTCCAACCTTTTTCCATGGAGAGAGTGATCCAGCAGTTTCCACCCACTCAGAACCAAGTTCAAGTCCTCCAACACCTAAAACATATATCTTCTTTACCTTGAATCTTGATAAAAAGGTTGACAAAATATGGCAATATTTTAGAAAAAAATATCAAATTCGCTTTCCTTGCTAAACAGTAACTTCTTTCTGACTTGATGATTAATTCACTTTTACCACGACACTCCTTTTTTAAGATACGAAAACTGAGGCACAACAAAAACCGAGTAATTTCTCCCAAGACCTTGGTGTCTTTCCAGCAGCCAAGCCATTCTTGCTGGCTCTCAGACACATGCTCAGGCTGTGCTTCGATATAAACATACAAACATGCTACACACTTGCACACACATGCACACACACACACACACCCCTTTCCTACCTCATCAAATCCCATCTTGTCTGGATATTTAGGGACAACTGAGACAAACTGGGAGGGTTCCATTGGTGGACGGTCAACTGGAAGACATAAGAAACACGCAGAGGGCTTTGTTAGTGCAAGTCAGAGGACAGAACTGCATCCACACACCTGATCTCCAGGAACACAACTTGCATGTCCAGGGCAGGGTCAGATGCTCAGCACCTGTCCAGGACTGAGCGGCTACAGGAGAACCCTGCCTGCTAGGGCACTCTTGAGAGCACTTGTTTCTATGCAGATTGCAATAATTGTTCCATTGCCTTAAGACTTATTGTCAGAGCATTTTGGAGGCAGTTTAGGGCAATGGTTAAGGGTGAGGGCTCTGCAGTCAGATGACCTAGGTGAGACTTGGGTCTGTGAAAGTCTGGAACAGTTAGGTGACTTCTCTAAACTCTTTCTTCCTGTGTAAAATTGGGATAATAAAAGTGTATCTTTCAGGATGTTATGAAATTTAAATGATACCGGCATGTCAAGCACACACCACAGTAAATTAACATAATAAATATTCAATATCTCTTAGCCCAAGATAACTCACTGTGATCCATGATGAAAGAGCTCATATATAGGCCAGACTTTCTCTGAATAATGTTTTTTCTATACAGTTAAAATGGCCAAAGCCTAGGACTATTTTTATCCTAGCTAGGCAGGTTTAGCTACAGGTACACAAAAGTTCCTTTATTTCAATACAAACTCAGCTCTGAGGGCCAGCCCACATGCCAGAACTTGGAACAGGGCTAACAAGGAAGTTTCCAGATGGAAGGGACATCACACCTTGAGTCACAAAAGTTTTATTTGAAACTCCAAAACAAACTATCTTTACAAACTATATATTTTAAAGGTTGATAGCCATGTGACTGAAAAACCTGAGAAGGTTTTGAAGATTTTTGGCATTGTATAAATTCAAAGTACTCGTTTGGTTTTTCTTAAGGAGATAACACAAAGAAAATTTACAATGAAATCTAGTAGGTGGGTTGTTTGAAGAACTATGGGTGATGGTCTTTCCCAGTATTCACCAACATCCATTCCCCTCTGTTCCAGGGATATGAGAGGAATACAGTTCCTCATCCTTGAAGTTAGTCAGGACCACATGAATTCCCACCACTTCAGTGATCACAGTAGCATGTTGATATGGAGAAGCCACAAACTGAAGCAGCCCAGAACGATGGAGGGCAACATATGGAGGGCAACTGCCCAGGGAAGACATCAGACCATGGCAGACTTTGCACAGCCAGAAATAAGCCATTGCTGTATTGAGCCAAGGAGATTTGGGCACCGTTGGATATACCAGCATAACTTGCCTCATCCTGACTGAGATACTGTCCAAAGGGCATTATTTAACTAACTTACCCTTCACTGGGATGTTAAAGAGGAAGCAGGACACCCAGTTTCACTTATGATCAAATAATATGAAGTTCTAGAAGACAGTGAGACACGTTTCCTAAGCAAACATAAGAGTTGGGCCTCATTACATCAACCCCGAGCCTTACAGTCCCATTTCTGTGTGTACGCAGAGCAATGTTTCTGTTTCCGTTAGCAACCCAGAATGTTTTGGTCCTTTCTGCTCCACCCCACTCCTCACTAGTTGCTTTTAAAATCAACAAATATTTATTGAGGGCCCACCACGTACAGAGTTAGATTTTAAGAGAAAGAAACTTAAGATACAATCTCCTTCTTGTTTATACTATTGTTTGAGGAGCTGTCTAGCTCTCCCTTCTTGGGCCTTAGACTTGGGAGGGGGTTATATTTTGAGTTACCCTTTCCACGCTCTCGGTCTCTGTTTGGCACTCACATGGCCTGTGTGGCTTTAACATGTCAGCCAAACAGACTGCTTTTAGCCTCTTTGCTTCCATCAAACATGGGCAGTCATTGCATTCATAGGAGAAGTCTCTCAAAAAAGCTCAAAGTGGCTGGCTCCTGAAAACCACCATTGAGCAAAAATATGAGAAATACACCTGGGTTTTGCCACTGAAGGCAGAGAGCTAAGCCATAGGGAAAAACAGGAAATGATGTGAGTTAGATCTAAGAAACTTCCTTGAAGGTTAGGTATATCCCAGCTTCTGACTCCATCATTCATAATTGATCCAGTCCCCCACTGAATCCCTCCCGATACATATCCCCTCCCTGTACCAACATTTGGTGCAACGTGTTTCACTGGCTCCTGGATAGTTTCAAGATTTAGGAATAATAATAGCTATCATTACAGAGTTCTTATTACGGAACTCTGGGCTACACTCTTGACATATGTAATCACATTTATATAATCTTCACAACATGTACCATGGGACAGATATGAGTGTCCCTATTTTTATAGATAAGAAAACAAAGGCTTAAATAACTTGCCCAATGTCACAGTGCTGATAGAACTGATATTTGAACCTAAGCCTGACTCCTGCACCCCCAAGCTCTACTCTGCCACCAAAGCTAGTCCTTGATAGTCACTGGGGTCAAACTGGCCTTAGGCAACTGGTCTGGGTTCACAGTAGCTCTGTTAGCTAAGTCCTTGCTTCTGGAACACCCACCACCCTGCATACAACGTACCGGCCCAGTCATGCTTGGAAAAGTATTTGAGAAATTATGCTTGGGCCAAATCCTAACCCTTGTCTACAGCTTCTCCTGAACTTCCATTGCTCTAGACACCATCCTTCTCAGGTCTTCACTCACTGTGCTTGGGGTGTTTTAATATTTTTAAACACTCATGTGCTCTTAATCTTGCCTCATTCAAACTCATTGTGCACACTGTTGTCAAAATAATTTTCTTCCACAAAAACAGCTCTGTTCCTGATCATGATGCTCAAGTGCTTTACAATTTAAGTGCTTTCATATTCACGTCATTTTATAGCTTCACTTTTATTGTTGTTTTTTTTGTAGAGATGAAGAAATTGAGACCAACCCAGATGTAGACTTGCCCAAGGTCAAGTAGTGAGTGATGGATGGGTGGAGCTGGAACTCGGTTTTAGACCTTATGACTTCAGATCCAATATTCTTTTTTATATTTTTTTAAGATTTAAAAAATTTATTTTTAAAGAGAGAGGAAGGGAGAGGGAAAGAGGGAAAGAAACATCAATGTGAGAGCAAAACATCGATCGGCTGCCTCCTAGACCACCCTGTTGGGGATCAAGCCCGCAACCCAGGCACGTGCCCTGACTGGTTGTCAAACAGGCACAGGTTGATGCCCAACCAACTGAGCCACCCCAGCCAGGGCAGATCCATATTCTTCATAATTTACATGAGATTCTGTTGCCTCAAAATGTCATTGCTGAGAACGGGCACCTAAGACTTCCATCGTCTCATACTCTGATTTGCAAGAGCAAATTCCTCATGCCTCATACCATTTACTTCTATCACTTTTTATAAGATCTAGCTTCTTGCAATTCATCCCCAAATTTTCTGTACAGGAAGCACATCCACAAATTTCTGTGCAGCTCCTAATGCACCAAATGAGTAAGTACATGTAGAGTGATGGGCACAGTGCAGTTCATAAGCGTTACCCGCTGGTCTTATACCCCATCTCCCACCCGCCCACACTCTTCCACTCTGACCTCTGAAACTCCAGTCTGCAGTTCAGAAACTCTCGGATGTGTTCAGCCCCTTCACCATTTCGGAAGGTCTCTTCACTGTTTCATTTTAATTAAAACTTGGCTTTGTTTTGAAGACACTGCCTCCCGTTCAGCTGTCAGAGTGGAAGGTGATTTTCCTCACATCCCGCCACTGGCTCCACACTGTTTCTCCTTCATCCTTCAGAACTCCCAGCCTCTTTGATGCATATTTCTGTACCATCTATATTTGTGTACCATCTATCTCCTCAGGCCCCATCAGCCACTGGTGACTATGGCTTCTGGCTCACGGACTCACTGTCATCATTCTTAGAAACCTCAGCATCCACATGGTGACCCATCCAGCAGCCTGTTGGCTTGTAGGTCCTAGGCCTTAGCGCCAACAAGCATCCCTTCAGTGACCCACTACCGCGCCTGCGCCCACCACACCGGTCAGGCCCTCGCTTCCATCAGCACCCATCCCAGACCTCACGGTCTAGCACTCTAACCGTTTCTTGTAAACACTCTTGAATTTCTTCCACTGGTCTTGTTTGGTAAAACCCCAATCCTGGTTAAACTCAATTGTCCACTTAATCAGCACCAAGAAAAATACCGCAAGGGAAATTCACAGAGTTGTTTTGACTGAGTCATTTCAAAACTACAACCACAGATGTGAAATTGGCACTCAACACAGCCAAATAGGCAACTATATACTTCCATAGTAAATTTACTTTCTATTGTCTGAGAGAGATATTTTATGCCTTTTTCTCTCTCCTGAAATCTCCAACATCTCTCTAGGGCTGATGATTAGACTACACATGTCATAGAGAAAATATTCAAGTCAAATTCGACCTGCCTTTTCCTTTGACCTCAAGTTTACAAACTCAGATGCATCTGTACCCATACATTCTGACTTCTATACATTGGCTAGAGTGGGGGAGCATCCCTATTCCTACCTGGGACAACCTCTCCAATGTTGCCCTGGGTCATAATGCCTTCTTTTTTTTTAAGGACTTCAGCCTTAACAATCATCTTCTCTTCTCCATCATCAAGTTCTTCTTATATGTTGGATCCTTCTCAGTAGCACACAAATATGCTAAAATCCTATCTTAAAAAATAATACAAAAACCAAAATGACCTCTGCCTTGATCTCTCACTGTCTTCCAGCCACCATCCTATTCCTCTATTCTCTGTCCCAACAAGATACCAATTTCTCGTCTCCCCATTGTCCTCTCTTCAGCCCATTCCAAAGGGCTCGTGTCCCCATCATTGCACTGAAGTGGCTCTTATCAAGGTCATCACAGATCTCAATCTTGACAGAACAAATGATCAGTTATCTATCCTCAGTTTACTTGACTTCTCAGCAGCATCTGGCTCCTTCTTGAACATTTCTCATTTTTTCCTTCCAGCTTTCTGGCTGTTCACCTCCCCCGGGATGTGTCCTCCCTCTCCTCTTCTCTTTCAATGTTCTGTTACTAAACAAGTTCACTCTGTTCCATGGCTTCAAATATCCTTTTAATACGAATGACCTCAAATGTCTGTCTCCAGCTGGAGTCTCTCCCTGAACTCCAGACTCACAGAGCCAAGTATCTCCTAATCTTTCCATTCAGATGTTCAATAAATATCTTAAACTTACGTCACCAAAACTTCTCTCCCCAAATCTTTTCCCATGAAGCCTTTCCCACTTCGTTAAACTACATACCGGGCCAAAATCCTGGAGTCACCCTTGGTTCCTTTCTTTCCTCGTGGGCTGCCTCCAGGTCTCTGTAAGTCCTGTTGGCTCTGTCACCAAAACATATCATAAATCTACCTGCTTCTCACATCCCCCCTGCTACAGCTTACGTCCCAAACACCATCGGTGCTCACCAAGAGAGATATACTGGACCCCTACACTCTAGTGTCCATACCACAGTCTGAGTGATCTTTCCAAATGCATATATCACATCATGCCACGCCCCCTCTCCCACTCCGAAGGCAATCCCATTGCTCTTAGATTAAAATCCAGATTCCTCACTGCGGCCACAAGACTCTGCAGGACCCCCACACCACTTCCTTATGGCCTCGTCTTCTGCTCCACTCCTCTGTATACCCCAACCACACTGGCCTTATGTTCCTGGAGCACCTCAGGCTTTTTCTTAACAGCTTCTGCATGTGCTGTTCTGCTTAAAACGCTCTTCCCCCAAATATTCATGTGGCTGATTCCTGGAAATGTGGTCTATCTCTCTGCGTTGGAATATAAATTCCTTGATGGCAGAGCTTCTGCCGGTTTTGTTCACTGCTGCATCCCCAGCCTCCTGAAGAACCCATGGAACACGGGAAGTGTTTAATAAATTCTTATAGCCCGATTCTCCCTTCTAAAACCTTCCTTGGCTCCTTACTGCTTTTAGGAGAACCATTCTGATTTTAGCTGAGCATTCAAGGACCATGAGAGTGGAGCCATCCCAACCCTCAAACTTCATTTTCTTCTATTGTTTAAAGGCTACTCTCTTCCAGGTTGAGAATGCTTTTTTATCAATGTCTTTGCTCAGTTTGCATGCTCTGCCTGCAGTGCCCTTAGCATATCACTCCTTTTGTTTAAACTCCATGCTGCTGTTAAGGCTCAGTTTAAGACCCACCAGGACTTGACATGCTCCTATATCATCCCAGCCCCCAGAAATCTCTCCCTACGCCAAATTATTTTGCTCTTTTATCTGTCCCTTTCACAAAGCACTATGCTGTATCACTGGAGTCTTTTTATGTCTGTCTGTCTCCCCAGTTAAACATAAACGCCTGAAACAGAGCACTGGTTAAAAAATGTTCTAAACCGCCAGTGCCTCACAGAGTGGCTCATGCACTGTCAGCAGACACTCAGTGTTGGCACATGAACATAACGCTTATTACGTGCTTCACTTGCTCCAGTCTATTAGCAGCTGTTTGTTTACTGCCCACTGGGTTCCAGAGGTTGCGCAAAGTGCTTTTAACATCGAGTTCATCTTTCCCGAGGAGACCCGACAGGTATGCCTCCATCGTCGGCATGCTTCTATTAATCTGCCATGCACCTCCAGCCTATATTTCTGCCTTTCTACCCTCAAAGGTTTGTTTTCCAATTATTTTCTTATTCTAATTATGTTCTTATCTTTTAAAGTTCAGAATCTGAAATTTTAACAAAACTACAACTAGAAAGAGTAAATACAAGAATTCCATCAAATGCCATGTTTAAAGGGCCTGAAACCAGCCTTCACTGTCCCACCCTGCTCCTGTCATACATACTTCTCTGACCTCGAGAGTGACTGTCCGAAATCCAGATTTCAACCTGACATTTTTCTGCTAACATCCCCTTAAATTCTCCCTTCCCTTCAAGACAAGTCCAAACGCCTTCTTATACAGTAGAGGTCATCCCGCCTGGGCTCACGTCCCGCCCACTGCCCACCGCCCGCATACACACATCCTATGCTCTAGTGATGGAGAACTGAATTTCTTAGATCCTGCGTGAAAATTCAGCACAAATATCTCCTCCTCTGGGAAGCCATTTCCAGCATCCTTCCCTAGGCGGGGTGGATCTGCAGCTTTCTCCTTAGACACCTGTACATTACACATAATAATTAGTGTAGCTACTGATTACTGAGCACCGACCAATCCTGACATCGTGTAGACCTGGAGGCAAAAACAACACAGTGGATAAGGACAAGAGTTCTGGAGACAGCAAGGTTGGTTCCAACCCCAATCTGTCATTTGTTTAGTGGAATGATCTGGGGCAAGCTACTTAAACTATGCCTCAATTTCTTCATCTTTACTACGGGAATAATAAAGCCCCTTTCACCGATTTGTTGTAATTAATAAGACAATACATAAAAATTGCTTAGTGTGGTATCCGATACATCACAAGCTATTATTAAATTCAAGTCATAATTATTGTTGTTAGACTTTTTATATAGATCATAGAGAATCTTCCCCCAAACTCTACAAGCTTTCATCATCTCCGCTGTACAACCAGAGAGGTTAGATTACTTGCCCAAAGTCATATAATTAGAAAGCAGCAAAGTTAGAGTTGAAATCCTGCCACAAAGCACCGTGACAGCCCTTAGGACATCGTGTGACACGAGTTTACTGTGTACCGAGCTCTCCACCTGGACGGGATGCTCCGAGGGCAAAAGTTTGGCCATATTCATACTTCACATTAGGAAAAGTTTAAGAATAAATAAACAAAGGAATATCCATGTTCCAGTCCTGGGGGAGGGGGATGTGTCTGGTGTCGTGGCAGAGGAACAAGAGCCACCGCAGGCTCCTGGGTCACTCACTCATGGCTTCAATCTGCACGTGGACAAGGCTCTCGACATCGTCCTGCAGCGTCTGATGGGGCTTCAGGGGGATGGGCAGGTAGCCGTAATGCTCCCTGTTGCAGAGGTACATCTGGACGCCTGAGGGGGACAAAGCCAGCCAATCAGAGAACAACACTGGTTAGCTCTAGAGTGACAACTATGGGAGGAGACAGGACTGTGGCTAATGCTGGGTTTGGCACTGAAACTGAACAAGTAACTGTTTCAGGCACTGTCTGCAGACCTCAAAAATGCTCCTTTATTAAGAAAGTATAACAGAGCATTGAGGTCTAATAAAAAAAGCCCGGGCCATTCTTCAACTCAGAGGAAATTGATTTTTTCTCTTTAAAGAAAAAGCATAGTTGTGGTCTGAAATGAACACTAAAGGCATGAAGGGATCAAAAGGGAGGCAAGGACAGAAGGGAACACTGTAATCTACCTTCAGGAAATAAAGAGAATGAAGAATAAAATCCATATTTGATATGAAAGCAAATAGGAAAATCCTGTAAGGCTGACAGATTATTAGAACTAAATCTAGGCATACATAGAACCAAAAATAAAAAACAAGAACATTTAAATTCTCTATAACTCTCTCTGGTTTTCTTTTTTTTTTTTTTCCTAAATCTTTATTGATTTCAGAGAGAGGAAGGGAGAGAGAGAGAGAGATAGAAACATCAATAATGAGAGAGTCATTGATTGGCTGCCTCCTGTATGCCCTCGACTGGGGATCGAGCCCGCAACCCCGGCATGTGCCCTGACCAGGAATCGAACTGCGATCTCCTGGATCCTAGGTCAATGCTCAACCATTGAGCCACTCCAGCCGGGCTGGTTTTATTTCTTCTCTTAGCAAGCATGGATTTGGAGTCAACCAATGGATATGAAACTTCTATAACAGATTCATAAAGGAACAAAAGAAAATCTGCATCTCAAGTCCTGTTAAGAAGGTGCCAGAAATACACCACAGCCCTCTTGTATTCAGCACTGGTCTTTACAGCCCCTTCTGGCTAATTCCGAGAGTGATATTACACAGCATCTGTGTTCAACCAGATACCTAGGAATGTAGGAATCTAGATGGTCACATAGAGACCCAGCAACAGACACAGTTTTGACTAGTGAGAAGATTGCTTAATTAAAAGAATGAGTCTGCTAAGCTCTGGTCCATGTGTCCAGGCTTCTGACTTGTTAATTGCTAGAACCATCTATCCTTTCCAGAGAGAGAATTACCTGCACAGAGCCTTCTCTATTTTGTGCGGATGCGATTTCCCCCAGTCCGCCGTATCTCCTGCCAAATCAGCTGTCTCAGGGCATTAACAGAGAAGAGCAGGGAAGAAAAGAGCTTCTATCCTCTGCTTTGCTGACTCTGGCTGAAGCAGGGCTGGCCCACCGATCACTGTTGCTTCTCTTGCCTTCACCAAATGAAGTCACTAGCTCTGCTCTTTGCCTCCATGAAGGCTTCTGGGAACCTTCAAACCAAAAACTACCCTCTTGCAAGTCATGATGAATTCAGGAAGGAGAAGGAAAGTGGTTTCATATTTAGGTTGCCTCCATACCCTAATTAGGTCCGTCGTTTTACCATTCAACTTTCCAAAGCTTCCACAAAAAGAGAAGATGAGACCCAGCTGAGCTCACCATCAAGTGAGGGGACAAGAGAGGCATGTTCAGACGTGCAAGGTCATGAATATTTACTTTCCATCATCCTGTCTCATCCAGCGACTGGGTGATGTGGGAGAGGAAGGTGAAGGAAGAGGAGTGGGGCCTTTGCACTCGCTTTCAGACCCTTGGGAAGTCTGACCAATAAGGAACGAAGGCTGAGTAAGGACAAGCAAAGGGCAAAGCTGGAAATTCATTCCCAGCCTGTGTCACTCTCCTAGCCACAAATCCAGTTCTTGGTCTAAAAGAATTTATCATAATAATTTAGTGCATGGGTCAGCATAATGCATTGAGCAACGGCAGTAAGGGGGGACTCTGATGGGCAAGGATCATTACTGTAATTGCTCATAGTTCACTTTCTTGGAACAGCCTTACTTGGCGCTCTGGAGCAAATCACCTGGCACAAATCGAAGGACTGAGAAGGCCTTGCGTCTGTTTCTCATCCTGGTGAGGTCAGAGCCAATCATAGCCCAAGCAGAAAGCAGCAGTTTCCATGAACACTGACATAGAACCTTCAGGGAAACTTCCAGCCCACAGGGGAACAAGAACCTTGCTTTTGCCCTGACACAGGCCTGAAAATGCCTACACCTGGCCAGAGGGTCTCAATGGCCCTGGCAGCCAAGGGGGAAAATCAGCCTTCCCCACTTCCACCAAATATCCGCATTCCTACCAAGTCTACAACTGATGAGTGGGACACCCCTGGCTTCAAGGATGGCCTGGTGAATGAGTTGTAGCTTAAATTTGTGTTACCAGTCTCACCTGCCAGTAACCTGCCTCAGCTCACTAGGGTCTTGGGGTGATCCCATCCACCCTAATTTATGTGGCCACAGTGAGTTCATTCACCATCTGCCTGGTTTCTAAACTCACTTCTGCTAGTGGTTAAGCGGCACATTTCTGGCTCATTGATAATGGGACCTGGCTTCCGTCCTGAGGATAAAGCTTTGCTTTAGGAATGTTGTGTATCTTCCTACTGAACTGCTTTGGTGAATTACGTACTCCCTGATGGCACATGCAGGTGACACGAGAGAAATAACTTACATTCCTAACTGACTTGTCTTTAAGAAACTTACACTTGCCACTGGAAATGCTTTCTTAGTAGTTCATGAAAGACTTGTCTGGCTTTGCCTGACCTTCCAGAGGGACCGTGGCAGACACTGCTGGTTGACTCCCCAAATCTACCCTCACCTTCTCCTAGAGCGAGAGAACTAGGGCTCTAGACGACATAGATAAACTTCGGAGCCTCTGTAGGTGTTGTCCTGTGACTAAGTTCTGGCTAACGGGATATGCATAGAAGTGATGTGCTCAAGGTCCGGAGTGTACCCTTCAAGGGGAAGACAGTGCCGTCCCTCTCTGGTTTTCACTCGATGGCTGGAATGCATCCCTACTAATGAGACATCTTGGATCATACAATTAAGGATGATGCCTCATGGAGGGTGGAGAAGCAATAGAGAAGGAGCCTGGGTCCCTGAAAATTTGTGCATTAGAGCCACTATACCAGTTCAGGATTTTTTGAAAGGAATATGAGTCTGGGTTTTTTGCCAGTGTTGTTTTGGGTCTCTGTCACAGTTTCTGATTAATAAAAGGATTCCTATAATGAAGAGAGCAATGCAGTAGCACCATAGAGAACCCATGGCTCCCACCACTACCCTCTTCCCACTGCTCAATAAAAAGAGTGGAGTCTGGGTAAGGGCTCTTGGTCACTGGTGCTCACAGGGACAGCAATACCGAAGGTGCTGGTGTGGGTACTGCAGGCAATCAATTGCCTCTAACACTACCTGCAGAGGAAGCCCATTTCCATAGATAGCAGTGTTCTTAATAACATGCACAAAACAGAGAGGCTGGTTATTTGCAGTGTTTCCATGGGGGCGGTGCCACCGAATCCCCACAGTACCTGCTTGCCGGCTGGAGAAGGCGAAGACGATGATGTCATCGAAGGTCCAGGCGTAGTCCTGGTGCGGGGGGTAGAACGTCAGCTTGTCCGAGGCTTCCTTCCTGAGGTCAATCAGGAATGTGGAGTGGACCATGGGGACAGGAAAGCAGCCCATTCTCTTCCATTCTCGAATCTGAATGTAGTCTGGGGTCCGTTTATAGAAGCCCTGTAAAAGAGCAAGCAGGCGGGCTATGTTCTCTGATCTGAGCACCGCACTTTTCCCAGTCATCTGCTAGCTGATTCCTTCCAAGGCATCACCAGTTAAGGAGAAGTCCCCAAGAAAAGTCACCTTAACTCTTTATCTTGGTCAAAGAATTTCCAATTCAGCTCAAGAATTGCTATTTACATATTTAACAATACTAAAAAGGCCCTGTTGTCAGAAATAATGTTGGTTTCAGCATATCTCTTGATTTAATAATTTCATGAAAGTATATTTTATGTTGACTTATGATTTAAGCGTGAGCATTTAGAGGTGGTAAAGCCGAGCAATGAAGAGCACAATTTCTGGTGTCTGCCTGCCTGAGTTCAAATCCCCCCTCAGTTACTTATTGTCTGTAGGTATTGGTCAGATTACTCAACCTAGTTCCTCATCAGTAAAATAGAAACGGTGGCCCTGTCCACTCCATGGGGATGCCTTAAACATTCAAAGTGCTTAGAATAGTGCTAGCACCAAGAAAGCATCAATCAATACTGGCTCGTGTTAAAATTACTACATTACATTGGTTAATATTTTTAACTCAACATGCAGTACTCAGACATGGAAATAGGGTCTTCTTTCAGTAAAGTTATTTATTCAATAGTCTGCTCCACATTTTGGGGGGATTCCTCTTTTGAAAGCTCTTTTGGACAAGCACACAGGACAACCAACTCCCTTACTTTGTGGTCACATTTTCTGTTGCGATGTCAGTGCCCACACATTAGGCAGTGCAGCCTCTTTCATGTCTCTGACAATCTCTTTAGTGTCTAGATGAGTGTTCCAGCTGAGCGAACCCTAACCTGGACCACGTGGCAAGGTCGAAGCAGCGAGAATTAAGACTTAGAAGACGCGAGGCTCGGAGTCATTTTAACCGTCTTCTAGCTGTTGGACCTTAGCCCGTGCTTGATCTCTTTGAGCCCGAGTGTCTTCTCACAGGGCTGTAGAATGGATCACATGTAATAAGGTCTATGAAGATACTTTGAAAACTGTGATCCATTATATGATATTATTAGTATAATTTTTATTAACCTTTAAAGTAAGGATCATTTGATATCCTTAAGTCAGGAGAACATGGGTTCTCTTAACACTTTAACTTGGGAACATTCTTCCAAGGGATTAAGGGAACGCTGGTCTTTAAAGGACAGTCTAAGAACACATACGAAATATAAAGTTCTGGACAACATAGCAACAATATTCTCAGAAAGAGAAGCTTGGAAAATTCATGATGATGATGAATCACTGAATATCCTGGGGGCAAGGAGGAAAGGAGCAGAGAAAGAGAGTTAGCATGCCTCCTGCAGACAGGCAGAGGTGAACATTTTGTCTTTTTTCCCCACATAAATTGAATGTTGTTGGTAATAATTCTTGTTCGCTGGCCAGACACCACCACCAGAGTCATTTTGTTTGGGATTTGTTTAAAGGCTCTGGAGACCAGGGCCTGCCTTAAGCTTATGAAGTCATTGGCCCTAGCAGAAGCCTGACTGGGGATGGCAGACAGCCAAGAACAAAGGGAGAAAAATTAGAGTTGCCCCTAAATTCCTCAGATTTTTACTTTTTTTTTTTTAAATTCTCACCCAAGGATATAGTTATTGATTTTAAAGAGGGAGGGAGAGAGAGATTAACATCAATGTGAGAAACATCGATTAGTTGCCTCCCACACGCACTCTGACCAGGGGATTGAACCTGTAGCCTAGGTGTGTGCCCTGGCTGGGAATCAAGCCCACAACTAGTTTGGCGTATGGGGCGATGCTCCAACCGAGCCACCCCAGCCGGGGCCAGATTTTTACTCTTACTGTGCAAACTAAATGAGCACATTTCTCCTGTTTGCTTTTAATGATGAACACAAATAAGAAGATAATTGAAACCTGGAGGCTGCAGTCACTAGAATAATCCATCCTTGTTGCTGATGTCAAAGCATAACTCATTAAAAACAACCCTCGGGTGATTCTGCCGTGCGAAACACTGCAGGTGGTTAACTAAGAACCTAATGTAATGTTTTCACACCGAGAACTGAATGACTTGTACAAATATGAACTTGATGCTTCCCTAAAAGAGATTTGGATAACATGCATTCAAAACCTCTTGGGACTGCGAGAAATACTGTAATGAAGGAGCAATGGCTTGTCCAGTTAGGGTGCTAGAGCCACAGATTGTTACGTTTTCAGGAAATGTGCAAGCCCACTGACAGGTTGGTAGCTATAAAAATAAAAATCAAGTTAATTACCACCATCTAAGAGAACCACAGATGTCAGCTATGCATATTTTTAATAATTATCTCATCAAGTAGCTAGACTGCAATTAACTTAACCTTTCCCTGAGCTTAAACAACATTTAAGTTGTCTGCATGGTAGGAGTACTTACATCATGAAAACTGGCAAATGCTACCCATCAGGATTTTTGCCCCCACAGAGAGCCAGTTATTAAAAATTTATCATTTGGCCCAAAGCCAAACCAAATATAAAAGAGGGACTCACAATTTTAGCCTTTTGGGTGTGAGACTACATTTAACATATATATTTTTTCCTTAAGCACATGATCAGCTTATCTTTTGAATTCATTAACTACAGGATAAAAATATAACCAGCCATAAGCAGTCACTGTAACAGATCTCTAGACTTGAAAGACTTTCCAGTGGAAAAGAGAGGTGATGGAAATAAAAGAATTCTGTTTTTAACATGAATTTTGGGGGGAAAAAGCTACCATAGCAGTTCTAATTATTGGATCTCTTTGAAATGAATTTGGCAACATATATCAAAGGTCATCAAAATATTTATACTCTTTGACTTAGTAATTCCACTTCTAAGAAGCTATCCTAAAGAAATAATATTAAATACAGAAAAAATTATATTAATCATGATGGTCCTTATAATAGTTAAAAGTTGCAAACAACTTAAATGTTTTTAAACTAAGAGAAAGATTAAGTACATTGCATTATAGCCACTTGATATAGTTATTAAAACATGCAAACTGTTATTTACGGTGTTAGAGTGGTGGGGATTAACATTTTTTTTTACAATTTTTCATTTAAAATTTTTTCTATGGTGTTCTTATGATAGTTTTAATGAAGAAAAAAAAACCTTACATTTTTTAAAAATCTCTGAATCAAAGATAAAAAATAGCACAAATTCCAGCAAGCTTTATCGGTTAATTTAAAGCTTCTAATGCTAAACTCATTTGAATATTTTCTTCATAATTCATTAATACAGAAGAGCTACTGGGTTATGGCACTGGACCTGGATTCACCTCCTTTCCTGGAAATGCTTGCTCTAAAATGACATGCATCTTTCAAGGGAGGAAACGAGAAAAAGGTTAACAGGGCTACTGTTGACACATGGCCGCCTTGTTAAACTCATAGCTAATTCATTAGCCAAAGACTTGCCTGAGGTGTGATTCCGCACCAGAAATTAGAGTACAGGCCCCGAGACTCCAGCATGGGGGCCACAATGGTTTTGTTTTCTGCAATCATTAGATTGAGGGTCTGTGGATTAGTCAGGAAGTTGTCAACATCTATAAACTAGGGAAAGAGAAAGAGAAAGTCAGGTGAGAAGGTACTTGTCCGTAACGGGTTCAAGGGTAACCCAACACTTATGGAGCATCTAGGGAGGCTTGCTCATGATATGGAACCAGTCATCTATGTTCTCCTTTTGGAAACCCATTCCAAATGGATGGCTCTCATTCAAACTAAATACATTTAGTCTAACTTTTCCATGTTCAGCTCTGCAAAAGGCACCAAGTAATGAATTGGTGTTACCACACTCGGCACACACTCAACCAGTACCCAACCTAAAGATGTTCATGGCTCCCAAGCCTTTAAAGTTTTATTCAAAAACACTTATCGAGTGCCTACTCCAGATACAAATGGACAGACCTGTTTAGGTTGTCTATAATAATGCCAAAATGGCCCAAAAAACAGATCCGCCAATGTTATTTTAATGTTACAAGCAGAATTTTTGTTTAAAATACATTATGTCAACCCATGTTAACCAACAAAGCCATGTCCCATTCTTAGCAGAAGTCCATGTTCACACCAATTCATTTACAGGGACAGTAACAACATGTTCTATCATATAAAATAAATAACCACACTGAACTATCCACTTAAAAATTATTAAAGTGACAGATTTTATGTTATGTCTATTTTACAACACACACAAAGTAAATAACCAGAAGCTTTCATTCTTATGATAGTTAACCTGTTTACCAAAAATTTTGTGGTTCAACATTTGTACACTTCTAACGGTATTTAAATAGCTATACAATGTTAAGTATCATTAGGACAAGTTGAAACTTCTATGAAATTATTTGTAGAAGGTGTGTGTGTGTGATCAATCATTGGGCTGATTTTTGTTGCGGTTGAGGGGCTGGGAATGGACACAGATCCAAGGAATTCCCTTTGGGAATTAGTCTAGTGACAGAGAGATGTCAATACATTTGGTGAAACAATATTGGCTTTGCTTTATTGGTGTTATTTCCAGTGTTGTGCTGGAAAACGTTTACCAAAAGATATAAATAGTTTTGGGGGGAGGCACCGATGAAGAACCTGGTTCCCATAAACTTGTGGGGGAGAAAAGCCTCTGTCAATATTCAAAAGGGAAATGGGAACTGTAGCTCCTGAGGAAGCGTCCTTTCCAGTTGAGACAGGTTCATGGAAGACAAGGATGGCACATAACACTGGTTCCTGATCCTCAAGTCCAGCCCACTCTGGGCCACCTCGAAGTGCTAACGGAAGTGACGGAACATCTTCATGGAGAGAAATTCTCCACGAGCGCCCAGCACAACTCGGAGCAAACCGGGAAGCCAAGAAACAGAGACCACTCTCCAGATCACTCGGGAGCAAAAGGGAATGGAGATTCAAAGCCGTCAACTTGAATCTCTTTTTATATAATTAACTTAATTCTTCTAAAAAGTTATTAAGACTATTTATATTGTTCTACCTACAGCATTCCCCCTGAAACTACAAAGATTCAGGTTTTCACGCCTGTTCTGTGAAAGAGATTGACTAAGTCAAGCGCTTATTTGCTTACTGAAAATGCATGTCAGAGGTGGGTCTGAGATGAACCCAGGGGTCCCAGTATGAAGCTCCCAACATTTCTCCCTGGGCCTTTATTAAAAAGTGGGGAAGGCAGAGCCTAAACAAAGATTGTTTGTTTGTTTGTTTTAATATATCTTCATTGATTTCAGAGAGAGGACGGGAGAGGGGGAGAGAGAAGTGAAACATCAATGATAAGAGAGTCGTCATTGATCAGGTGGGTATTGAACCCGCCACCCAGGCATGTGCCCTGACTGGGAATCGGACCACGATCTCCCGGACCCCAGGTCGATGCTCAACCGCTAAGCCATGCCCGGCCGGGCAACAAAGACTGTTTTGATTGATCCCACAGGCCTAGTTTTTGGACAATTGATCTGGACATATTCTAGATAACAGCTGTCAAGAAATCAAACATGTGATTTTACCAGAATGTAGTCTGACCATTTTTCCCTCGCAGTTCGAAGGGCTGCCTGTCGTAGTTTCATCACATGGGCAAACCGGGAGGCAGGCCAGTGCTTTGGACCAATTTCATCAGGATAAGACCTAAAATAATAATAAATAATAATAACAGTAGTCGCTTAAAATTATTGAACGCTTATATATTCCAGGCACCGTGTAGAAACTCACTTAATCTTCCAATAACCCTAGCTTGAAGCAGATACCATTTTTGTTAGTATCATCCCCATTATACGTAAGGAAACTAGAGCGAGGAGAGATCAAGTAACCTGCTGCTTACTGTACACAAGAATCTTTATATGAAATATTTCACCGAGTCCCTACTAGGTACGTAGAATAGTCCTTCAGTAGCCAAGGGGATTGGTTCCAGGACCCTGGTGGATACTAAAATCTGAGGATGCTCAAGTTCCTTATATAAAATGGTGTAGTATTTCCACACAACCTACACATATCCTCCCATATATTTTTAAATTATCCCTAGATTGCTTTCAATACCTAATACAATATTAATGCTATATAAATAGTTGTTACCCTGTACTGTTTAGGGAATAAAAAGTCTGTACATGTTCAGTATAGATGCACAGTAAGCCTAACCACACAGTATATGCCAGCAAAAAGTAACAGTTTTTCCCCAAATACTTTCGATCCACAGTTGCTGAATCCCCATTTCACAGATGAGGAAGGGTAGAGCAGTTTAAGTCATTTGCTTAATGCTATGTAGTTAACAAAGGGCGCAGTTAGGGTTTGAACCCAGGCATAACCCAAAGTTCTTGTTCCTAGATACTTTATTTTGCCATCAGATACATCTGGAGATTTTGCAGCATAAAAATATGAGTTTCCTAGGAAAAACAAAGGTTTAATTTATTGGGCAAATCTCAGTCAAGGATTCCACAGAACCGAACACATGGATGTATCCCAGGTAAAGGGAGGTCATGGAGCGGATGCACAGTCCCTGGGGTCTCCATCGGCATCCTCAGAAAAGCCAGCCAGGCCTCTCACACGGTCACACAGGCAGACGACTGGTGTACCCTCAAGAACCTTCTGAAAACTCCTAATTGGTAGGAGCACTGGTGCTGTCAGAGTGGCCCAAACTGGCCACCGCTTCAAGTTTTTCTAGCTGTGCTGGTAGCACAGGAGCCTCGGTGAATGAAAAACCACAAAAACTACACAAATAACATGAGTAAAACTATGTACTGCACGGGAATTCTCTGAGATGTCCTCCCCTATTATTGCTTCAGTGAAATGCAGTACAATTCCTGTTTCTTTGAATATATTGCCCCCAAAATGCCTCCCCTAATATTTTTCACATTGACCTTGGCATACAATATATTAAGCCGAAAACTGGCTACAGAGAAAATTACCAGGATGCGAGGCAGGTACAAAAACTCTTTCTGGTCCATTCTAATTAGGCCACATTCCATTATAAGGAACTTCATATGAGTGTTCAAAATTTTTAATACAGCTCAAATTTTATAGTTAAATTTTGCTTGACATATGGATCACAAGCTAGGATTTGAGATATATATGTGTATATATAATAAAAGAATTATATACAGAGAGACTAGAAGAAGAAAAATTTGCCCTGGAATGGCACTTGCTTTTACAATACAATCTGGCTTTCAATAAATGACTTATCCTGGGCAAAAAAATCAGGCAAATCAATTTGTTTTACTATACAATTCCTTAAGCTGGAACTGTAACAGCCTTGGAAACATTTACAATAGTAATACATTTACTCATGTTCTCATCTGCTCATTTGTTTATCCAACAAGTATTAATTTAGTGCCTGCCAAAAACTGCACTGGGGAAAATATGATTTGTATACTTTAGCCCCTACCAAAAAAACTCAAAAACTTGAAAAAAAAAAGCATAAATTATATAGTTTCTATTCATTAAGTATATTGTTGTCAGAAAGGCTGATGTAGGAAATTAGCAACACAAGTGTTGAGAGGTAGAGCTCTAACTGGAATGGCTAGCAACAGCTTTCGGTGGTAGGTGGGATGTGGGAGAAGAGCTGGTTACAAAGAAAGAAGGAGTCTTCCAGGAGAGCAAACCTGCATGGACAAAAGCTTGGGGTTGAAAGTAAAAGGAACATTCTAGATAAAGCAGGCATTCTTTTGGGAAGAATCGGGAAATATGGATGCATAGATATGGGTGCTAAGTTTACGGAATCTTTTAAAAATATAAGCCTGGGGTACTTGAACTTTGTTCTGTAGGTACTGGAGAGCCACTGGAGTTCTTTTAACAGAAAAATTAAACACATCATTAGCACTTTAGGTAGATTAACTTGACAATACGTTATGTAGAATGACTTGAAGATGGAAGCAACTAAGAAACTGTTATGGTTAAGATTGGAAGTCACCTACATGTCCATCAGTAAGAGACTGATTATATAATTATGGTATATCCATACAACGGGTGCTCTGCAGTCATAAAAATAATGAAGCAGCTACTTAACTATAGAATGATTACCCAGGTATGGTAAATAAAAAAGCAAGGTGTATATATATAAAAAGTATGCAAACTTTTCATTATGATCCCTCAAGTAGAAAAGTGGTACACACAAAATATGAATAAACAATATCACTATTTTAAAATATAGGCCGCTGTGGTAATTTCCTTGTAAACTAATGAGAACCCGAACTTGGCTGGTACCTGCGGGAGTAAAGAGGAAGAGAGAAAGATGAAGATCTGTCAAAGCAAGAAACTTATGCAGATGAAAGACAAGGAAAGGCCACATGTGCCTCCAAGACTGGAAGCCTGAATGGCTGGAAAACTGGCTAAGGGAGGAAAGGTCAGCAATGAGCTCGCAGAATGTTCTCCTGCTACTCACTCAGGCACATCCATGGGCCTCCACTCCACGTAGTGATAGAGTCTCTGCACATTTTTCAGCCACTCCCTGAGTATTTCTGTTGTGTTATCCACATTGTGATCGGTGGCTGCCCTGCGTGAGAGAAAGCACAACAGAGCTCAGTCATGTCATCCAAAGGAAGAGGGAGAAATCCAAAAGGCCCCAGATTAAGTGAAAGGAGAATGGCCAGTTCTAAAAACTGTACATGTGAAAACGATCCTCTCGCGGTCCAAACTGAACAATTAAGTGGAGATACTGCTTCCAGTAAGCCTGTGTCATTAGGTCCTTAAACAAGGCTCGGCCAACAGTAGTATAATAAGTGGTTATACTTAAACAGTACAGGCATAAAATGAATTTAAACTAGAGTGAGCTCATCAATCTTCTTGGAAATATTCCTATTTGCTTTAATTTTTAGTTATGTAAGATATAAATCCTGCCTTTCAACTTCACTAACAATTACCCTTAATTTCAGCAGTAACTCGGTTGCATTTTCATTTCAAGTTCATTTGCAGGGTCACAACAAAATGTTTAGCCAGTGCTGCTTTAACCACCTGCAGCAGAGCGGAAAGCCACAGCAACAGTTCCCAGTATAAAACTCAAAATCTAAGGGATCTTCACGCATCTATTATGGATTAACTTTCCCATCCCTTATACGGAAAAAAAGTACCATCGAAAGCCTCCAATAAGGTATACAAAACATATTTCTGTTCTACCTTGAAAGTATAACAAAATGATCCACTTATAAAGGAGCTTAACTCACTTATTCACACAAAAATATTTCCGTATTGTATCACAAAGCAAACTCATGCTGTGTATCGGATACACATCTAAAGCCAAGTCAGGACAGGTGAAAATGAAGAGATGCCAGGGAACTGGGAAAGAAAGAAGGAAAGCAGGGGTTATAATCTCGGCATCAAATGAGGTAGAATTCAGGCCAAAAAAATATTAAGCATGAGAAAGAGGTTTTATAAATATAATTCTAAAGGGTGTAATTCAGGTCAAAGATATACTAAATGTGAATATGTCTGTACCTTCATAGAGTACAGGGGTTGGCAAACGATTTTCTTTACGAGCCACACAGTCAACATTGAGGCTCGCAGGCCATACACCCTGTCCCAGCTGCTTCCCCTGGCATCGCAGCAGCAGGGCAGTTGTAAATGATACATAAAGGAATAAACATTCTCAAATGCGGATAAAACTATTTACAAAAGCAGGCAGCAAGTAGTCTGTGAATCCCTGATATGGTGGGCAGGATAGAAACTGCAAGGAAAAACAGGAACTCCAATAATAAGAGATGCTAACATACTCTCTCCGTGGAAGTCGGTGCAAATGGAGATAAAGTAAACAGAGAGGACCTACAGGACACATTACAGGCACTATATTTTCTTCTCAAGTACACACAGAACGGTCACAAAAATTGGCCAACAATTACATGACAAAGAAAGACTATAATATTGAAATAATATCAACAGCATTCTCTGATCACAATGCAATAAAACTAGAAATTAGCGATAAACTAAAAAACAAAAATATTGCATTAAAAAATTCCCTATTAAACAGCTTTGAGTAAAAGAGGAAATACACATCAACTTCAGAACTGATAAGCATGAGTAAGAAAAACGCTATATATCAGAACTTTGAGATACAATTATAGCAGTGATCAGAGAAAGATGCAGCTTTATGGCCTCAAATCAATCCAGACAGGGAGCTGACTTCCTACTCAAAAGGCTAGAGAAAGAGCATAAAGAAATGAATAAAGATGAAGGTAGAAAGGCATGAGGTAGAAAACAGAAAAAGAGTAGAATAAAAATGCTGAAAAAAATTTTGGGGGGAAAAAATTAACAAAAGACAACCACTAGCTAACCTAATCAAGACAAAAAATATAAAAATGAGAAATGACAAAGGTAACGACTGTGATTGATGTGGAAGAAATTTTTTAAATTATAAGCAATTACTTTGTACACACCAATGAAAAATAAATTTAAAAACTAGATGTGATGGGAGAGTTCCTGGGAAGATGGATGTAAGCAAAACTGACTCCAGTGGAAATATAAAACTTGAACAGAACAATTTCCATGGAAGAAACAAAGAGAAAAAAACAACACCACGAGGGCCAAATGGTTTCACAAGGGAATTTTACCAGATATCTTAAGAGACGAGGTATTTCCAGTGCTATGTGGCCTGTCCTCCAGAGCACAGGTATAAAAAGTCAAGTTCTTTTCATAAGTCAGGAACTATTGGTATCTAAACCTAATGAAGACACCCTCCCCCCAAGACCAATATATTTTAATGTCTATGCTGCAAAAATCCTAAATACAGACTTCAGTATCCTATTAAGAAAATATTATATACATGTCCTAAGATTGTTCAATATAAGAAAAATCCATTAACGTAATTCACTTTATCAACAGACCTGATGAAAAATCATACAATTATCTCTGTAAATGCTAGAAAGATCTTTAACAAAATTGAACACCTATTCCTACTTTTTAAAATCCATACTATACAATTTTTTGAGCAATGTCACCCAATAAATTCAATTAAAAAACACACCATGCTAAATAAAATTTAAAATGAAAAAGGGGGAGGGAGGGAGG